ACGAACAGCGGTAGGGTTCGCGATGATAGACAGAGAGAGTGAGACAGGGGCAGACGGTAAGGGAGTAAGGGTAAAGGGTTACTGGGTCTGGGTTAGTACTTAGTACTTAGTCTATCTCTACCGTCTACACTACTGTCACTACGCGTGTCTCCGATCTATAAACTATAATAATATATTTATAATTTATAATATATTAATATATATATACTGTCGGTTATTCGGTAACTGCGGTTTCGAATGGACAATAACCGATAAAATAACCGATTAGCCGAAAAATTGAATTTTTTTTTTCTTTATAACCGATAACCGACCGAAAACTGAAATTTTCCATCATCATCCATTTTTTAAAAGTTTATGTAAATTTTATATTTTATTCTTCTTATTTAATCAAATTATTAATTTTTGTCAAAAACTCAAAATTGCGCTAGCCAACTTAAAAAGAATATAGGGTGTGTTTGATATATGGGGTTAGACAAAATGAATAATCATAAAAGTCATACACATTGTTTAGATGATAACTTTTTAAAATACAAATGTAAAATTTTATTATCCCTATAATTACAAAACATATTACTTAATTTAAATAAGGTATCATTTCCATTGATTCAGTCTTATTACCCTCCCTCATTTCATCGCCTCCTTAGTGCATTGCCTACTCATTTCATCCACACTCTTAATATTCATTGGTTTGATTTTTTATTTTTATTTTTGTATTTTTAAAACATTTATTCCAATTATAGAATCATGCATAACCGAATATTAATATTGATAATCATTTTAATTTCACTCTACTATCAAACATGCAAAATATACACTCACCAAAACTCATTCCAATTATAAAGGATTTGATTGTCATTTGTTACAACCGAACACACCCCTCATGTATCCAAAAGATAATTAAAAATGGCGCTACTTTGTTCAAATGATTTGAATCATATTACTAATAGCACCTTCTAATAAATATTAAATTGCATGTTTACGTACGTATATATTATCTTTTTTGACAGTTGTCGTCGATTTCAAGTAATGAATATAAGGAGAGCGTCACATCTTAAGAACCCGCCGCCCCGCCATTATATTTCTTAGCTTATATCCATCACCATTCAAACCCATTTCAATGGCGTCCACATTGTTAATCACGCTCCTCCTCATCGTTTCGGCCTATCCCTCCTCCGCCGACAGCTCCTTGTCGCCCCAACAATCGACTACGCCGCCGCCACCGCCAGTGATTGCTGCGACCTGCGTCGCCTCCCGTGATCCACCGTCATGCGAAGACGCGTTAACCAACTCCACCATCGTCCCGCCCGACGCAAACGCCTACCAGGCTATCCAATCCGTCCTGAATATCTCTTCCCAGAATCTCGACAAGGCCATATGGATGACGGAGGATATCCTGGCCGGCGCCTCCGGAAAACAGAACCTCACCACGGCAGCTAAGGTTTGCGGTGAGATTCTGGGATATTCCAGGTATCGGGTCGCGTTGACGGTTCATCACGGTTTCGAAGGCCCTAAAATCAAAGACGGGCGTGCGTGGATGAACATATTTGTAAGTGTAAAATAATTTACACATTAAGTTATTGGCTATTTTATTTAGTAAATAGTTTTATTGTTTTTAATTAATTAGAGTTGTTAAAGTTAATTATATTTTTGGACCATGTGATATAAATATATGGATGTTGTGCCTTGGAGTATGAAGTCAGCGTATGAAGATGTCAAAGAAATAAGAAGTGTGGTAGTGGTTTATTCTAATAAGGAAAGGCAGTGGTTTATTCTAACAAGAATAAGTGGTGGTGATTCATTCGAATAAGTGGTGGCTAAAGAAAAAGCTATTGCTAAGGATCCTAACTAATGGTTCAAGAAGTGCTATAAATTCACACGGTTCGAAGGAAGCATTTGCCCAACTTTGAGAATTATACCCTGCTAGAGCCCTCTTGATTTTACAAAGCAATTTATATTTTGAATGTAATTTCTGATTTAATTCGTAAGAATATTTATATTGTACTGCATGATCAGTACGTGGTACTGCTGAAGCATCTTGTGAAGATTGTTCGGGTATTCGTGTGTCAATCCTGGATAGGTGTTAGAAAGAGTGGTAGTGGTAAAGGCTGGAGACCATCTGTATTTACCTCTTGTAATACTCCTTTTGGAGAACATCTATAGTGGATTGGGCAGACGTGGGTTGCTCCGCAAACGTAGGAGAAGGAGCTCCGAACTGTGTAACATTTCTTTGTGTTTTTAATTTACTTTATGCTTTACATTCTTTATGCTTTTAACTTTCATTATTTACATTTGCTTAAACAAGTTTAATTAATGAACGTAACTACTGCATAACCTAATTAACAAGTAAAATACATAGCTTTTATATTTCAAGTGTCACGGTGCAATTTCAATTGGTATCAGAGTTTGTAGACTTAATTTATTAGTCTATCGATCTGGCGATTCCGTGCCTCTTGAATTCATATCTTCAGCGGCTTTTATTATTTATCTGTTTATTACTTATTTGTTTGATCTCACGGGGTGTTAAGTGTTACAGAATGGAGCGAACTAAAGTCCTTCCCCAGTTGACCGGCTTCAACTACGCATATTGGAAGGCTCGCACCCGTACGCATCTAAAAGCTAAAGGTGAAGCCGTATGGCGGTCTGTGTGTCAGGTTAGACACATCCCACTAAACCCAGTTCCAGCACTGATGGAACATAAGTCACTAAGCCAGAGACTGAGTGGACTCAAACAGAGATAACCAATGCAGGAAACAATGATAAGGCTTTAGACACAATTTATTCTCTTATGCATGAAAGCCAGTTTTCAATTGTTGCATGTATTCCTTCAGCTAAAGGTGCTTGGGAGGCTCTTGAGTCAACATACGAAGGAACTACCTCTGTAAAACAGTCGAAGCTGCAAATGGTCCAGTCAGAATTCGAAGAACTGCGTATGAACGAGGATGAAACAGTCATCGACTTTCATACTCGCATACAGGAACTGGCAAATCGCGCAATGGTCCTTGGTGAACCATTCTCGCAAGAGAAACTCGTCAAAAAGATACTGAGATCTTTAACGCCCAGGTTCCGAATGAAAGTCACAGCCATCCAAGAGCATGATGGCTGGGAGAAAAAATCTGTTACTCAGCTAATGGGAAATCTTAAAACATATGAAATGGAGATTTTAACTGATCATACGAAAAAACAAAAAAAATATTGCTTTTGCCGCTGAAGAAAATAATGTAGTATCCGATACAGTTGAAACTAGTGATGATACAGTTGCGTTCTTAACTAAACAGTTTTCCAAAATTTTGAAACAGGTATCCAAAAACACACACAACAGAAATTCACAAAAGGGAGCAACGTCATTCAAGACTGCACCTAGGACAGGGGCGCCAAACGTCAAACAGTCTGTCTCACGTCCAGGACAGTCCAAAGAAAGGTCCAACAACAAAGGCATCAAGTGTTATGAATGCGAGGGATTTGGACATGTACAAGCTAAGTGCGCCACATATCTTCGACGCAAAAAGTCTATGTCAGCCATTACCTGGAGCGATGACGAGCCCGACGTTGAACCAACTGGGTCAGATGTCGAGGAAATTTCGGGTAATTTTGTTGCATTTACGGCACGTTTTACTGACAGTTCAGAATCTGTTGAATACTCAGAAGGTGGTGACTATGTCTCTGCAGAAGATGTGGAACAAAATGCTTTATCTTTTGACGCTGAATTTAATAAGTTGTATCCCAAATGGGAAGCTTTAAGAAAAATGAACTGCAAGCTAGCTAGTGAAATAGAGATTGTAACAAATGCAAATAAAGTATATCAAAATCAAGTAGCTGCTAGGAATGTTTTCCTTAAAGAAGAAGCAGGTCGAGAGGAAAGACTTCAAAACGAAGTACAAACCAGAAATGTACTTCTTAAGGAAGCAGCTGACCGAGAAGCAAAACTCCAACAAGAAGTTCAGAATTTGAAACAGGAGCTCAGCACCTACAAACGACAAATCCAAATGATGGATACCACTTCAACACTCGATAAGATTCTTGATTCCGGCAGGAAAACTTCTGCAAAATTTGGTTTGGGCTTCACTGGCAGTAACTCCAAAGATAAGACTGTATTTGTCAAAGCATCTAGACCTGATCCAGATGACATCCCTGAATCTAGCACTATGAAACGCCCCTATGGTAAAGTAAGCGCAAATAAGATGCATTATAAACTATATAATCCTGTTTGCCACTATTGCAGGTTACGCGGTCATACCAGACCTGAATGCTACTATTTCTACAAGGATCAAAGAATCGAGAAGTTCAGGCACAAGAACATACAACCTTTCACAAAACAAGTTTGGGTTAAAAAGACTGATTATATACCGTTTGTTTCGTTTCACTCTAAAAGTGCAGGAAGTGAAGAGAAATGGTATTTTGACAGCGGGTGTTCCCGTCACATGACAAGAAATGTCAAATTCCTGAACAACGTAAATACCAGTAAAGGTGAAGTTACCTTTGATGACGATGTCAAAGGTCAGGGATAACAGGGTGGTTCGAGCATTGTTCACATCCTCAGATGTTCGATTTTTTTTTTATACTCCCATCTTATTTTTTTGTGTGTTACATATAGAAGACTAATTCAAGACAAACACATATTCTCTCTCCTACTCCTACTCAATAACCTACATTATCACCTAAGCCTTCTACCCATCCTATCACTACACGGCTTTTTAGAAGACATCCCCTCACAATTAAATTTTTTTTTTGTCTCATTTATTACCTCCACTAAGCCTAGCTGAGACAACACTCCTTCGTCTTCTTCATCATCTACCCGTCACGCCATCTGTTTCTTTTCGAAGCTCCCATTAATGGAGAACTCATTTCTCTCCTTTGTATCTCCATCTGAAATGGCGAATCTTTTTCGCAAAATAATAGATGCCGAGTCTCCCTTATCTCCTGAAGCTACTGATCGGGTTCTTGCCACAATCAAATCGGATGTTTTACTACTTGAAGGGCTCACAGACAAAGAACAGAGATAAATGCATGCTCTGGCTCGCCATATCTCCGCTGCACCCTGGACAATTTCACCTGTGACAGCCGCTGCTCCGGTTTTTCCTCTACCCGAACCTGTGTCTCTCGCATCTTCTCACAATGTGGTATTTCCCGTATCTTCTGCTTCTTTAGACACTGTGCCCTATCTATCTTTATCTAGAAAAATTGATTTTAGTGTTTCTTTGCCTTATCAATTTGTGTCTACCGTATCTCATGATAATTTTAGCGTACAAAATCTGCTTTTACCTGGTGATCCATATGATCCTTTAACTCACAATTTACCTAGAAGTACTGAAAATTTAGTAGCTTTGTCTGATTTGGTGGATTCCTTGCCTTCTACCTTTGTTATTTGCAATATTGCCCAGCATTTCTCTGTTTATGTTCTACCCGTGTCTTGTTCGGCCTTTTTTCAATCCCCATTACTTTTTCTGCTTCTAAAACTCAGTCTGAACATGTGCCCATTTATGTTTCACCTAACCAAGACTCGGTTCCCTTTATCTTTGTACCTCTGTCTAAAACTTCCCGAAAGGGAAAGGAGAAACTGTCTGTTTCAGGTACTGCAGAAAAGAGGAAGGTGTCTCATTTAGATGATGTGAAAACTCAATCTGACCGTAAGTACTTTGAAGGCTTCAAACACTCAGGAAGCTGGTACACACTCTAACTCTTCTCCTTTAATTGGTATTACCTCAATACCCGAGTTTGAGAATCCTAATGTGTTACAATTTTTTACTAGCAATCTTCTTTCGCAGTCTTCGTTTGCCATTTATATATATATATATATATATATATATATATATATATATATATATATATATATATATATATATATTCTCTGTTTTAAATGTGCTTAAGACGAATTTTGTCTTTTATTTTATGTGAGTGGCTTTAAAATTGAACATGAATTATTTAGTCCCACTTCTACATGTGTGTATCTCTGAATTTATTCACACATCAGGTACATTTGATCATTCTGGATTCATTAAATTATCTTTAAAGTGTTCGTTTAATTTGCCTGGGTTACTCTTTAAAGTGCTCGTTTAATTTGCATGGATTAAAGTGTTCCTTTTGATTTGTTTAATTTGGTGCAAATTGATTAATGTGTTTATTCTCTTGTGTTACTTTATGTTTATGTGATTGTGGTTTGTTTGGTCCGGTCATGACCGTATGTGTGTTTATTCATGTGTTTCCCGCGCTATCTGTGCCTCAATTGTTTAATTGTGTGTTTTCTGTGATATTTGGCCTGAAATCTGTGCCTAAATTTGGTTCATATGTGTTTGTGTCTAAATTTGACTTTTTTGAATCTTTGGCTTGCTTACTGTTTTATTTGATAATTTGTTTGACTCGAATTGAGAATTGAAAATTCCTGAATTTTTTTTTCTTATGTGTTTTGTTGAGTTGTTTGCAAGTTGCGTGTGCATGGCTCTAGGGCTCTCGTTTTTTTTTTTTTTTTTTTTTTTTTTTAAAATCTTCTGCAGGTTCAAACAAAGCAAATAACTTATTATGGAGTCCAAATTACAACTTCATGCTAATGTGAAATTCTTGGCAAAGGAAACAATCACGATGTACATTTTGAGGGGGAGTTCTTCTTAATCTCTTGTGAACAATTTTGTTGGGTATTTTCGGTTATATTGGATTTCTTGGGTATATATGGATTTTCTTACTAGACTCTATCAGTTTTGGATTATCTCGTTGGATTATCGTTTTATTTGGCTTATCATAATCTCTGGGGTCTCATTTTATAATCATCACCTTATTTGGATTCTTCTTGGATTATCTACTTGATGAGATTATTTCTGAAGAATATTTTGGATGGGATTGCTTATAAGGCTTTATTTGCGGTACAATTTCTGAGAGTATTGGATTCTTCTTGGATTGTCTTCTTGGTGTATGATATCTGATACTGATGATGCTGATAACGGCTCAGTTTCGGGCACCCCGTCTGCACGGTAAATCTAATCCACTATTATGATGTTCACCTTCCTTTATCATTTATTTGGTAAAAAGGGGGAGTTTTGGAGTAAGGGGGAGTATTACAGAGTATTATGGTAACTTTTGGAGATTTTGGAATCTTTTGGATTATTATGGTATCATTTGGACGTATTGGATCAGTATGGAATTTTTGGTAAGAACTATGATGAAATATTTGGTAGTTTGGCAGTGGTTACATTTGTTTGGTTGTTTTTTGGATTTCATTATGGAAATAATAGAATTATATGTGTTAGGGGGAGTAGTAGTTTTGTTTGGTGCATCTAAACAAGTTGAATGGATGTTTTGGGTTATGCTACTCTCACATGAACAAGTTATTATATGATGTGGTATGCTAGGAATTCAATGCTTCTATGTGTGATCCAAGACTTGAAGAATTCCAATCAGGTACTTTATTCACAAATGGTCCAAAAAGAACTTAAGTTGTTATTTTTGGTTTTATATCTTTGTGTCTTGTTCAGTACCTATACTAAGGGCTCTTAATAAAAAATAAATTGATTATACTTTCAATTTTGCCCAAAGTATTTGATACTTGAGTTTTACCAAATAAAATGCCAAAGGGGGAGATTGTAAGTGTAAAATAATTTACACATTAAGTTATTGGCTATTTTATTTAGTAAATAGTTTTATTGTTTTTAATTAATTAGAGTTGTTAAAGTTAATTATATTTTTGGACCATGTGATATAAATATATGGATGTTGTGCCTTGGAGTATGAAGTCAGCGTATGAAGATGTCAAAGAAATAAGAAGTGTGGCAGTGGTTTATTCTAACAAGGAAAGGCAGTGGTTTATTCTAACAAGAATAAATGGTGGTGATTCATTCGAACAAGTGGTGGCTAAAGAAAAAGCTATTGCTAAGGATCCTAACTAATGGTTCAAGAAGTGCTATAAATTCACACGGTTCGAAGGAAGCATTTGCCCAACTTTGAGAATTATACACTGCTAGAGCCCTCTTGATTTTACAAAGCAATTTATATTTTGAATGTAATTTCTGATTTAATTCGTAAGAATATTTATATTGTACTACATGATCAGTACGTGGTACTACTGAAGCATCTTGTGAAGATTGTTCGGGTATTCGTGTGTCAATCCTGGATAGGTGTTAGAAAGAGTGGTAGTGATAAAGGCTGGAGGCCATCTGTATTTACCTCTTGTAATACTCCTTTTGGAGAACATCTATAGTGGATTGGGCAGACGTGGGTTGCCCCGCAGACGTAGGAGAAGGAGCTCCGAACTGCGTAACATTTCTTTGTGTTTTTAATTTACTTTATGCTTTACATTCTTTATGCTTTTAACTTTCATTATTTACATTTGCTTAAACAAGTTTAATTAATGAACGTAACTACTGCATAACCTAATTAACAAGTAAAATACATAGCTTTTATATTTCAAGTGTCACGGTGCAATTTCAATATTTATCTAATTTCCATATTCTAATACTAATCATGATTCAGATGTTGTCGGAGATGGATTCATGGCGAGCAATATAACGTTTGAGAATGTAGGAATTGGTTACCAAGCAGTAGCTTTCCGATCCGACGCGGATCACACCATGATAGAAAGCTGCGAATTCCTGGGAAATCAAGACACCCTTTACGTGAAATCCCTGCGCCAATACTACAAATCATGTCGCATCGGAGGAAACATAGACTTCATATTCGGGAACTCTGCGGCATACTTTCAAGACTGTGAACTCCTGATCTCGATCAGCAAGGCCAATCGAGGCGGAGAATGTGGAGAACAACGTGGTGTCAGCCCACGGCAGGATCGACCCTGCCCAGACAATTGGTTTCGTGTTCCAGAATTGCTCCATTAACGGCACGGAAGAGTACTATAAGAATCCCAGCGTGCACCATAATTATCTTGGACGCCCCTGGAAGGATTATTCCAGGACGGTTTTCATAATGTGTAGCTTTGGGGATATTATTTCCAAGGATGGATGGATTCCATGGCAGGATGATTATGCTCTCACCACGCTTTATTATGGGGAATTCCAGAATAGGGGAGCTGGTGCCGACACATCGGGGCGCGTCAATTGGAGTAGTATTATTCCGGCACAGCATGTTAACTCATATTCGGTTCCCAATTTTATCCAGGGGGATAGATGGATTCCTAAATCTGCAGTAGCCGGCTAATTGTAATTGTAATATATATTATATTTCACTCAACAAATTAAACTAGCTACTTGCATGATCGAATCCTTTGTAATTATATTGGCCTCGGACCTTGGTGATACATACAAGCTAAGTGATAACTTACAAGCAGGGGTGCACTTTCATGCGAACCGTCATTCAGGAGAGAACTCAAAACCATCCAGCAAATGTGTTATATGTGCAAGTAGTTGACAAATTATGTTGTGCATCACGCACGGTGCACACATATGCAAAAATGACGTCATTTTGACTAAAAACGCACGTCCCACTTTTTTTAAAAAAAAATCAATTTCGATTCCCAGCAACAGCATTATGCTGTTTCTGTATTTTTAGTTATGAAATTATGGATGTGTAGTTATGCAATTCTGAATTTATAGTTATGAAGTTATGGATGTGTAATTATGCATGGTGTAGTTATGCAATTCTGGATTTATAGTTATGAAGTTATGGATGTATAGTTATACAATTCTAGATGTATAGTTATGCAACTCTAAATGTGTAGTTATGAAGTTATGGATGTGTAGTTATGCAATTCTAGATTTATAGTTATGAAGTTATGGATGTGTAGTTATGCATGCAATCCTGGATTTATAGTTATGAAGTTATGGATGTATAGTTATGCAATTCTGGATGTATAGTTATGAAGTAATGGATTTTTTTTTAAGTAGACGTCAAAACGACGTCGTTTTTGCATCCGTGTGCACCATGCACAGCATAACGCTCCCAAGTAGTTGGTGCACCTTTGCAAGTAAAAAGTGCAGGTAAAATCACTTACGTGCATTTATTTTTACCTATAAATGCATGTAATTTTGCCTTGTTAACATTCATTGATCTCAGTTCGTTCTATTTGGCATCAATTTTGTTCTTACGGAGGAGTTTAGCGGGTAGTTAGTGTGAGCATGTAGCCATTTGTGCAATCCAACTATCAGCTTAGGCTTTTAGTTGAGATGGAGCACATACTTCAATTTGGTATCAGAGCCATGTCAAAAGTCATGGGTTCGAATCTCACCGCCACCCGTAAGCGACTACGGTTTACCGGTCCACATGTTGCTTGGAACCCACCTCACACGTGAGGGGACACACCTCACACGTGAGGAGACACATTCATTGGCGTGTGTAGCCATTTGTGCAATCCAACCCGTGAAACCACCTGCAAACATTCGTGCACCTAGATGTGAACATGTAGCGCACACGAGATGAGTAGGTGTGAACACGTAGCGCACACGGAAACATTTATGTACCTAGTTATAACTATAGGTGCACCTAGATGTGAACATGTAGCGCGCACACGGAAACATTCATGCACCTAGTTATAACTATAGGTGCACCTAAGTGTGAACACGTAGCGCACACGGAATGATTCTCAGTTTTCTCCTGGGCGGGCGGTTCACATCCGTGATCATATATATATATATATATATATATATATATATATATATATATATATATATATATATAGAGAGAGAGAGAGAGAGAGAGAGAGAGAGAGAGAGAGAGAGGGGTTAATTCTTTTAATTGAATATTGCACATCATAATTCCATCACCATGAAGTCACATCACAACTTCCATTTTTCCTTAGCTTAGCAGAACAATAATTATATATGTCATGAATTTGCTAAAAGTCAGACATAATAAATGTTACAGCGAGCTTTAATGTCTGTACGTAGAATATAAACAAGCTAATTAAGGATCGTTGAACTCGAGATATTATAATTTATGAATGGACCAAGAAAAAGTCCATATTAAATATGAAAGTAATGGATAGAGTTGATATTTACTTTTGACATAAGCTAATTTTCAGAGTTAATTCCAGCAATGGTCATCCGACTATATTGATTTTCTAAAATTAGTCTTTGACTTTTAATTTGGACACTTTAGGTCCTTTGACTTTCAATTTCTTTCCAGTTGAGGTCCTTTCGTTAGAATACGGTTAATTGAATTTTAAATGTAGGGGTAAACTCATCATTTCACCTGCCTATGTATTATTCTTAGTATTTCTCCATTTTATACGCGATATATATGAAGATAATCTTAGTCGAAACCCTAAAATGTTCCTCGTCGTTCCCCATTTGCTGACTACTCGTGTGTGCGTTCCTCTATTATTGAGATGTTTACAAGGTATAACAGCGAAATACAAAGGGACAAATACGAAGGATAATACATAGACATGTGAAAGGACGAGTTTACCCCTTCATTTAAAGTCTAATGAACCGTACTCTAACGAAAGGACTTCAATTGGAAAGAAATTGAAAGTCAAGGGACCTAAAGTGTCCAAATTAAAAGTCGGGGACAAATTTTGGAAAATCACTATAGTCGGAGGACCATTGCTGGAATTAACTCCTAATTTTCACTTGTTTGACAAATACAAACAATCAATATGAGTGTTTAGTTAATTAGATTTTTGTAACATCTTATTGCTTTAAAACGCTAAAATTCTATAAGCTACTCAAAACACCTTTTCAGATCAATTAATTGAGAAAAAATCAATTATTTTTCCTAAAACACCCTCAATAATTTTGTTAAACAACAACAACGAGATTGTACAGACGAATTCCGCAGTCCTATCTTCTCGTCTTGATGCTCTCATTGTCTCTTCAGAGTACTAGGCAATTGGGTGTTTGAGTCCGACAACGACAACGACAACGAGACTCATTAGCACGTCGCCTTCCCGTGAAGGTAATTAGCGAAAGTATAATATTGTAAAATAGGAAAGCAAAAGTATTTAGTAAAATTATATTATGTTTTTCTTGATTGGTTTAAAAAGTAATACAATTTCATTAAAAAAATGACATTAATTTTGTATTTAATAAGATTTTAAATGCCTTAAGTGGAAAACATCTTTAATTGTTTTTTTTTTTTTTTTTTTTTTTTTTTTGTATTTAGTTTTACGTTCTGCCTTGAGTGCAATACAACTGTGTTGTGTATTATCACTAGTGGTGGTAATAATGGAGTAGACAGTGAAACCGTACCAAGGATATTTTGAAGCAATATGTAAACCGGATTTGGCTGTACTGATGATAATTATACAGATGGACAACAATCCTATCTGTCAATACTAAATACTCTTTCCAAATCGTTTTTTCTTCAAATCGCCACCTAATTAATTATTTTCCAAATGTTCAGCATTAAATTTAAAGAATATATTTATTATTTCTATACTGAGCTTACTGATGAAGATTATTATATGATATGAGGCCAGGCCAGATTCAGGATGAAGCGCTATTAAACAGTACCCGCCCGCCATTCTTTGGTCCACTCAATTCAATGGGCTCCATTTTATCACTGGCGCTCCTCGCCGTGCTCCTCCTCTCCGCCTCCTCTTCCTCCTCGGCCGTCCGCCGCTATTTGCCGGAAGATTCAGCTACGCCGGCCAACATCGTTGCTGCTTGCAAGGCCTCACGTGACCCACCATACTGTGAACGCGCATTGACCCAATCTGGTCAACTGCCGCCAAACGCAACTGCCCTCCAGATTCTCCGGTCCGTACTGAATCTCACTTCCCGGCATCTGGATACCGCGGAATCGCAGGTGAAGGATATTCTGGCCGGATCTACTGGGAATCTGAACCTCACGCGGGCTGCCAACAATTCGCTTGAGTCAATTGGGTATTCTAGGTATCGGGTCGGGTTGACGGATCGGTACGGTCTGGATGGCGATAAGATCAAGGACGGGCGTGCGTGGCTGAGCGCCGCCCTGGCTAACCAGTACGGCAGCTGGTCCTCGTTTAGCTTGGTCAACGACACGGCGAAGGTTGTTAATACGATGGCGTTTATCAATGACACCTTAATTCCGATCACCAGCGCAGGGCTGAGCATGTTAGCGAATTACGATGTTTACCGCGAAAACACCGCTTTGTGGGGCCCGCCCACGACCGAACGGAACGGCTACTGGGAGCCTGCCGACGAGTCCGGGTTGGATTTTGACGGCGGCGTGCCTAAGGACTTGACCCCGAACGTGACGGTTTGCGGCGGCGGCGGATGCGACTACAGGACGGTGCAGGAGGCGGTTGATGCGGCGCCGGACCGGAAACCCACGGAGCGGTTCGTGATTCGGATCAAAGCAGGAGTATACAACGAAACGGTTCGGGTACCGTTGTATAAGTTTAACGTTGTTTTCTTAGGAGACGGGATGGGCAAAACCGTGATTACGGGGTCTCTAAAAGTGGGTCAACCCGAAATGACAACCACCGAATCCGCCACGGTTGGAGTGTTGGGAGATGGATTCATGGCCAGCAACCTCACATTCGAGAACACCGGAGTTGGTTCTCAGGCCGTGGCCTTCCGATCCGACAGCGACCACACCGTGGTCGAAACCTGCGAATTCCGAGGCAACCAAGACACTCTGTACGCGAAATCCCTCCGCCAGTACTACAAATCCTGCCGCATCCAAGGAAACGTAGACTTCATCTTCGGAAACGCCGCCGCGTTCTTCAAGAACTCAGAAATCCTGATCGTACCCAGAGCAGTGGACCCCGAGAAAGGCGAGAACAACGCCGTCACGGCCCACGGGAGGGTCGACCCTGCACAGACAACAGGGTTCGTGTTCCACAATTGCAGCGTGAATGGCACCGAAGAGTACCTTAAACTGTACTATAAAAATCCCAAGGTGCACAAGAACTACCTTGGGAGGCCATGGAAGGAGTATTCGAGGACAGTTTTTATAGGGTCAAGGTTTGAGGTTATATTGTCAAAGGAAGGATGGCTGCCGTGGAAAGATGATTTTGCACTGAGTACTCTTTATTACGGTGAATTGGAAAATACGGGGGGCGGTGGAAGCACAGCTGGGCGTGTGAATTGGAGTAGCATTATTCCGGAACACCATGTAAACTCATATTCGGTTCATAATTTTATCCAAGGTGATGGATGGATTCCTCCTCCTAAATCTACCTAAGCTAGGCCATCAACCCAAACAAACAGTACCCTAAAATGGGGGTTTTAATAAAAACAAGAATACCATAATTAATTTATGAGCTTATTTGAATATTATTTTTAGATTATAATTATCAATTGTTTTTCATATTGGAACCATCACAACTAACAAGTTATGTACAACCTAATATTATAATTCATAGATGTACTTATACACATAATAACATCAACTACTCTACGCTCTTTAAAAAAATAAAAATAAAAAATATCAAATAGGCCCTTAAATTTTACACTAAAGGTCGATTAGGCTCCTAAATTTAAAAAAAGTGCAAATTAAATCCTCAAACATGTCAAATTGGGTCAATGAAGTCAAAAAATCAGTAAATGACTTGTTATTACAGGTCATTTCAATTCCAGCGATCGACTAAAAAATCCGGGCACCGGCGACAAAATCCAGTCGTCTTCCACTGAAAGAAGATGACCAGATCTGGTCATCTTCTTCAGTGGAAGACAACCGAACTGTCGGATTTTGTCGTCGGTGGTCGGAATTCATCGCCGGTCGCTGGAATTGAAATAATCTGTAATAACAGGTCATTTACCGATTTTTAGGCTTCATTGACCCAATTTAACATGTTTGAGGGTTTTTCACTTTTTTAAAGTTTAGGGGTCTGATTGACCTTTGGGGTAAAGTTAGAGGCATATTTGACCATTTTCTCAAAAAAAAAATAATACTCTTTGTCACAGTTTATCTGTCATACTCACTATTAATTGATCAAACCACTTTTTTTTTTTTTTTGTTTATTTTCTTTATTGTTTTTTTAAATTTAATTTTTTTTTTTTTTTTGTGTTTAATAGAACTTTTAGTGTAGTTTCTAAACATATAAATTTTGTATACTATTATTGAACTTAATATTATGAAAAGTTAAATTAAAAATAATTTCAGTCAAATCTCATTAACTGAACCAGACACATAAAATCAGACGGAGGGAATAATAATTAATGTGCGATGTGATAAAGAGTAAATACTCAAAATGGTCCATCAACTATAGCTAAATTCACAAATTAATCCTCGACTTTCAATTTTAACCAATTAAGTCCTTAACTTTGCAATTTTAACACGATTTGGTCCTTCGAACACTTCTGCATTAACGCTCACGCCCACGCCATCATCGACGATCTCCAGAAGAACCTCCAGCTCTCATCGGAGCACATGGAGGCCTCCAGGATGACGCTGCACCGGTTCAGAAACACGTTGTCTTCTTCACTCTGGTACGAACTCAACTACATTGAATCCAAAGGGAGGATGAAGAAAGGCGACATAATTTGGCAGATTGCTTTCGGCGGTGGATTCAAATGTAACATTGCGGTCTGAAAATGCAACCGGAACCCTAAAAAATCGAGGATGGACTATGAAATTACATATATATCCTCAAAAGTCACAGTCAACAAACGGTCAAATAGACGAAGGACCAAATCGTGTTAAAATTACAAAGTTAAGGACTTAATTGGTTAAAATTGAAAGTCAAAGATCAATTTGTGAATTTAGCTATAGTCGAGGGACCATTTTGGGTATTTATTCTATATAAAAATGTGTGTTTGTTTGTTAACCACATCTAAACCTAAAGAGTTAATTTCAATAGAGCTCCATTGTTTTTTGACAATTTTAAATTTACTAATACACTATCATTTTTATTATTTGACATTTTACACTATTAAATTTTAGACAGGAATATTCAAAATGATCCCTCGATTACAGCTAAATTCACAAATTGGTCCTCGACTTTCAATTTTAACCAATTAAGTCCTTAACTTTGCAATTTTAACACGATTTGGTCCTCTGTCTTTTTGACCGTTTGTTGACTCTGATTTTTGAAGATATATATGTAATTTCATGGTTCATCGTCAGTTTTTTAAGGTTCCGGTTGCATTTGCAGACCGCACTGTTACATTTGAATCCACTGCCAAAAGCAATCTGCCAAATCATGTCGTCTTTCTTCATCCTCCCTTTGGATTCAATGTAGACCTGTAGTTGAGTTCGTACCAGAGCGAAGAAGACGACGTGTTTCCGAACAAGTGCAGCGTCATCCTAGAAGCCTCCACGTGCTTCGACGAGACACAATTGTTTGTGGCGTTGGACCTGATGAAGATTGCAAATTGGGTTGTAGCGCCGGCAATGATAAATTATGCGAAGGTGTTTGGGCGGTGGATTGTGTCGTGGCAGTAAGTGAAAACTAGGCGGTGGAGTGTGTCATGACAGCAGATGAGGGCGGTTGGGCAGTGGCTTGTGGCTGGCCGATAGACTGTGACGGATGAGGGCGGGCGGCGATTAAATTACATATATATCCTCAGAGATCACGGTCAACAAACGGTCAAATAGATGAAGGACCAAATCGTGTTAAAATTACAAAATTAAGGACTTAATTGGTTAAAATTAAAAGTCGATGATCAATTTGTGAATTTAGCTATACTTGAGGGACTATTTTGGATATTTACTCTGTGATAAATTGATAAGATTAGTATTGAATACAGAAAGTCAACATCAAGATATAGGGACACATACATATTCGTAAAAACATCAACTAATCTATAAATTTTTATTCAATAAATCAGCCAACCTGAAAATAGTTTGGTGTCATGTGCTTTAATTAGTCAAATCATTAGCAGTGACTTTTGGGAATTTTCGCCCCTTTCATCTCACATGTAATGTCATTATTAAATACAAGTGGCCTGCCTGAACATTCAATATTCTTCCATTCAATCTTCTTCTCCCATTCCATTCAATCTTCTACCTAGCTTAGTGCCTGCCCTCCCTGCATACTCATATACATTACACTATTCCTTTTTATCATTTCACACAAAACAATTAATGAACCACTTTCTTAATATTATTTATTTATTTATGTTTTTAAAAGTTAAACATACATGTATGATGTATCAAAACTAAAGTAGCAAACTAGCAACCAAAAGAGTGAAGCAGCTGAGCTGAAACAATTAAAGTAGTAGTGGAATCTCAGATCAGGAAGTCACTGTATAAAGAAAGGATATAACATCTAGCATCACCATGTTCAAATGGCCAACCACCTAAACTTGATAATAACAATAAAAACAACCAACTATCAGTGCTGCTCTCCTAGGATCTCCCTACCTTCACTGTCCAAAACTTTTCTCTGCCTTCAATCGAACTTTTTTTTTCACCTAAAAATCTATTTCTTTTTTAATCATATGTAAGTAGCCAGCTTCAACATCCGGCAATAGATAATGAAATTAGAGGGAAAAAAAAAAAAAAAAACTTGACTCTGCTCTAGCAGTCTAGCTTAAAGAATTTTTTTCGATCCTATAGACACGATGGAGAAAAACTATGCTCAATCAATTCTACACAAAATGATGAGTAGGGTATTCATGCTCATAGCCATTGTAGTCATAGTATAGCCTCTCTCCCTTAGAAATATCACGAATTGCAACCAAAAGGACCCGGCATTCACCATTTACATTGTATCTCACACATTTCAGATTCTGCTTCTTCCTACCACCCCTGCAGCAAACAAGTTGGATTGCCTTCATGAAAATTTCACTTCAATATTGTTAATTTATAAAACATTTTCCTCACACAAATAACAAAGTTAAATAAGAAATGCTGAGCTTAGAACAGAGCCATCGTAGTGGAGAAGTAACAGAGATGACCAAACGAAGGAGATAAAGTTTGTAATGTAGCCTTACAATGTGTGATTGTTTATGCCATTGATAAAGCGAGCAATATTTCCACGCTTATCAGGGCAGATAACAAGGCTTTTAGATGGGTCCGTTGCTAAAAGAAGTGTCATCATGCTATCACAATCATCATTTTGTCGATTTCTAATGTAATCCACATCCCCTGTGTACTCTGCAATTAATGTCATGTCCTTAATAGCTGCATCAGCTTCTACAGTATAGCTGCAACATTCAAGAAGATTAAACTCGACATGCAATCACAAATTGTAAGAGAATCATTGCATTAACAGAACAGGTTAGTGAACTGAATACCCTTCACATGAATCAAAAACCACAATAAGCGGAGGCCATAGGCCACGTTTACACATAGCTCTACACTGCTCCAAGGTTTCAGTATCTTCTTTTGAGAGAACCTAACACAAGTTAGAGAGAAACAAAAGAACAAAGAAGCACAATTACAACAGATATAACAAGTGCTGGGTAAAGCATTTATTTCAATGCAAAATAAAAAATCATTTTCAAGTGAACCTGCATTCCACCATTTTCAAATTTTGCTTGATTTGCACGTTTGCGAGCCATGCCAGTAACATAAGTGAGTTCGTTACTAAATTCCATACCAAGAGCTGTTAAAGCAGTGGCAAGAGTACCCATTTGATCTAGTCGTCTAGCAGGATCTTCAGTCGGAGTAAATGGCAATAATCTTCTGCGCTTCTTGTGATAACCTAAAGTACGCTTCCGCCGTCTTCTGATATCTAGTCACCACACAAAGGAAACAAATAAATGGTTCAATGTGTGATAAAGTTGAAGCACAGATAGCTTTGGGTACTGTGTTAAATAATGTGCATTAAATCCTTCCTATACAAGATAGCTGACACAAAAGATTGAAAATTTGCTATATTGGTAATTTAAACATATAAAAGAGTAGAGGAGAACAAAAGCAATAAAACCAGCCTATCACCTGAATTGTCATTCAGGTAATGCTTGTCTACAAAGAGCAATTGTAGCAATAAAAGTAGGAAACTTGAGCATAATTCATGTAAAGGACACCTTCAAATGCAATGTCTTCATCAACGTTCATATATGAACCCTTATTTCATTTCACTTCCAGTAACCTACATAAGCTCAAAGCTCATATTGCTAGGGGCTTTTGGTGGAAAATATCAGCTGCTGGATTTTTCTAGAATTAGTTCTTCTGCTTATAATCCACATGCAGAGGACAATTAAGATACTTGTTCATTAAATTTTAAGGCTTGGCAATACTGATTCTTAGAAAGTAGAATATGCACAAAGAACATACATTTGATTGCCTTCCTCTATCCAGATCATTCTTGCTTGAAATGTTCTTTCAGCTCTCCATCAGATATTCTTCCCAATAGTGAGGCATAAGTTTAGCAAATCATGGATAAGACCGAGAGATGGAGAAGAAAAGTGATGAAAAAGCTTTCCTAAGTTTATTTATGAAAATTGAGAGTTAAGGCAACGGATAAGCTCAGGAAAGCACTGAAGAAAACTGCTTCCTAATATGAGAAATGGGCTGTTATACTACACAATGAACTGGCTATCAATGTCATAGTCCAAAAATTTCAGGAACAAGATCTTCACAGGAAGCCCCTCAAACAGGATTCCTAATATAGTAAGTATAGAAAACTAGCTCTTTTCTCTTTTCTTCTCCTTAAACTCAGATAAGCTAAGAAATTTTACTGCTCTAAGAAGTTGAATGCTTGAGAGAAGATTAGTACTTTTCCAATTAAAACAAATTGAGTCTCCAATAAGGGAACACAGACAGGCAAGGGAGCAGAACTGTAGTTGTGATTTATCTAGGATCTACATGAAATAACACAGGCAATCTGTTATTCTTGATTTATCTAGGATCTGACACCTTAAGTAAAGTTATTATGAGGATGATTTCTTCCTATTTATTAGACATGAAGTAACATTTCAGGAGCAGAAGTGTAGTTTTGGATACATAATTAAGGAATTAGGAATATTACTGTATATTGAGAAACAAAATTAAGGAATTAGGAATATACTAATGTAGTTATCCATAACATGGAAATTTATGATATCAAAATCCCTTCTATTTTTGTTTTCAATGGGCTTGTAACAGGTCACTGTGCAGTCTTTCACAAAAATAACAGACTACTAGGCAAGATTAGCATGGCAGCTGGCACTTTATTTCATAGCACCAACTGTATTAGTTTCTTAAATAAATGCTCTAGTCAAGGATCTTCCAGTGACATGTTTTCCAGCACTATCAAATATTTAGTTCATTGAGAAAAGGCATCTGAGACACAATATACTAGCCTAAAACCTTCAAGCATGGCCTAAGTAGCTTGTTAAGGAGCATATTATACTACATGGATGGCTCAACTTTTTTGTCTTTTGACAAAACAGTTCCATAAAGCATGAACCCACACATCAAACTACTAGATTAAATAATGATTATATCTTTAAGCTAGAAAATAGTTTGCAATGACAGTAGAGGTCAAGATCTCCCCTATGTTATCTAGTGTATAAATATATACCATGGAACATTAAAACCTCTTACTAGATAACTCTTGGACCACCAAGGAGTCGTTTTTTTTATTTGTATTGCTTATTAAATTATTCTTTATGCTGCATCTGTTCTGTTCTCAAAAAGGAAGAAATTTTTTCAGTTGTCCTATGTTTCAGAATTTGTAGACCATACATATGTAGTCCCAGTTATGCAACATATACCTGGTACTAAGAACAAGTAGAAAACAAATTGGATAAGAATACAAAAGTTAGAAATTCACAAAATTAAAAGGATACTAACTTTGAAAATGAAATATACATGTAATATTCTCTACAAAATAATAAGAAATCCAATTAAAATCAATGATCATCATGCACAAATTACATCAATGATCACCATATATAAATTACACTTCCTTTTACCTTGAGGTGATGTGCATTTCATCACCAATTCGCTGCCTTTCTGAATTCGAAAGAAATCATCAATCTTCTTCTGCGAAAAGCCTAAAAACACAATCAAAACAGTAAAATTTCATTAACATGCACGATCAATGTATGTGCAGATACGCACAAGTATACGCGAAAGAGAGCAGTGGAATTTGTTTCTGCGTACTTTTGATAGGGCGGCGTTGATCAGCGGTGCAGGCAGGACAGACCCACTGCCCGATAGGGACCCGGACAACAATGGGCCTAACACAGAGCATGTGGAAGCCCTTATCGCATTTATCGCAGAGAAGAATCTCGTCGTCTTTCTCGCCGGAGCCGCATTGTTCACATACCAGGTTTTCGTAGTCCTCCCCAGCGCCGCTGCATACGACGGCGCTTTGGTCGTGCTCCTCCTCATCCTCCTCCTCCTCCTCCAGCTGAACGTGCTTGGCTACGGCCATGATCTCCTTCATCGACCTTAATTTCTTCGGCGGCGGAGACTCCGACCTCTCCCTTATGATATCCGAGTAAGCTCGATTTTGGAGGCTCATGTGAGCCACGGATACCGACGACGGCGACTTGGCCGGCGACGTAGAGCTGGAGGGAGCCATTGATTGGGGAAAGGGGAAGGAAATGGAATAAGATTGATTGACGGAGGGTGAATTGGTAATGAGGTGCCAAAATTATTTATTTTACTTTCATTCTTTTATTTTGCTTTCATTCTAACAGTTGATTGAATAGTCTTGTTGTTGTAGCTGCAGTCTGCAGATGAAGAGGAAGAAGAAAATAGAAACGGAAATGGTGGAGAGAGAAAAAATGGTCAAATCGGGTCGGGCAGGTGTTGCCGGATATTTGGCGTGACGCTATGCGTACGTGGCAATGGATTACTCGGAAGGCGCGCGCGGACTTTGGTATGCGGATTTTCGGGTTGTTTGGTTTGGGCAATGGGAGGGACGACAAGCATGAAGCTTTTCTCATTTTGGTTGTTGCTCAATGCTGAGGATCAAAACTACTTCCAATCCATTTCGGCTAATTACATTAATTTCATTTTAATTAAACCCTCATAAAATAAGCCAATGTCTTATAATCTAATAGCACAGGATGATTCTTCCTAAATACTACATTGTAACAGAGCCAGCCGTCTTAAATCTAATAGAATAAGCCCAAATAATCAATCGATTGGAGTTGTCCAACCAATCTAGGGCAAATTATATCGTGCACCAAATGACGTCGTTTTGTTAAATGAAAAGAAACGGCATTAGTTTTCCGCCGTTCCGCACCCTTCCGCAAAAAATAACTCTTATTTAATTTCATTTTGTATACACTGCAGTTTCAGTTCAACACAACTACAGTTTCATTCGATATTTATAGACTCAAATATGTGAAAATGTTATTTAATTTTATTTTATATACACTATAGTTTTATTAAACACAACTACATGATCATTTTGATATACTTACAGCTTCATTGTAGAATATATACTCAAAGTCTCAAATATGTGAAATGTTATTCAGTTTCATTTTATATACACTGCAGTTTCATTTCACCAATACTACAGTATCATTTTGATATAACCGCAGTTTCATTTGATAATATAAAAATAATACGTGAGACATTGTCGGTTTAGATATACTGTAGTGTCAATTGGTGTTTAATACACCAAACATGCGGACTCCGTTAACGGTAACGACGCCGTTTTTTACCGCGGTGCATGTGCACCACGGTCTACGATATAACGACTGTCAATCTAGTTACATTAGAAAGAAAGGTTCATAACCTGCGATTATTGTTAATTTCTTTAAACGAGACAATGTAGATTTATCTACGCTTGCCCAGCTAGTAAAATAACCTGACATGAAACTTAACATGTTGCCCAATCAAATTGAGTTGTTGACATGTTAGGCCTATTTGTCACAAGTCATCATGATATTGAATAAATTCTTTATTGTAAATAATGTTTTCCCAATAATGAATCATCTTCTACTATATTTAAGATCTTATACTATCATTGTATGCAATATTAGTCTTACTACCTTACCCTTGGTAACTTATGTATTACTCTCATTGATATATTAAATATATTCTCATCTTATAATCTATAATCTCACAGTGTAACTCAATCTTTTGGCTAAAGGTTTAATCATGTTATTAAACTTTGATAGATGAGTAAAAACTAAAAAGGATGCTGAAGTGATATATAAACATGATCTCTATATTAAATTGTGTAAAAATTATATTTAAAATTAAATTTTCACTACTTATAAATAATGAGAACGATGCCTTACCTCATAAAATTTTACTCTCAACGTGGATTTCATTAATTGAGTTTTTATGAATTTATTAACTTTGTTACTAATTAAAAAGATAATTTAGTAACCAATTGAATAATATCACACCATGTGGATATATTATATTATAAAGAAAAATAATGAGAAATATCTACCATTTCTCTAAAAAAAAAAAAAAAAAAAAAAAAAACATATGGTCATTGTTGGTTTTACAACTAACAGGTAATCCACGACGGGCCAACACATTCGTTTGGATGATGAGATAAAATATAAGAGCATCTACATCAGAGGAGAAATGGGAGAGAATTCACTACTTTTGAGGCCAAAACACCATGGTGGCAGAGAGAGAAGGGGTGGGGAGCATCTGTAAAGGTTGGGATATTACTCTGCCCAAGACAAATGAATTAATGATGGAAGAGAGAGAATCAATAGAAAAAAAAAGAATTACTCTACATGTTTATTTTATATATATATATATATATATATATATATATATATATATATATATATATATATATATTAATCAGTTTTGTTTTTTTTTCCTCCCACGTTATTCTCTTTCCTAATCACTCTTACATTCTCCCCACTAATATCCCCACTTGATAAGGATGCTCTAAATGAGATGAGGGAAAAATAAATTGGACGCAATATTTTTAACATGAAATTCGAAAGGTAAAAATCACATGTCTTTTTTCAGTGATTTCAGTATATGTACATTTTTGTACAACTTTTTAAGAATAAGAGATGTTTGATCGGGTAGATAGAGAGACGTTGATGTTAAGGTTAAAGTGGATGTAGATGAAGATCTCCGTTTATTCTTGTCTTCAATTATGACCTTTTATAGTAAACAACAAGTAGTAATGTATATGGTAATTGAGTTTTTGTATAATAATTGATTATTTATAGTAGAGTGGAATATTTTGGAATGTAGATGTGAGTCATGTGACTTGCACGTGAAATGTAAAGATGTTTAGGTAGTGGGAAAGTGATTTATGAAATATAGAAATATTTAGGTAGTGAGAGGTGATTTGGTAAAAAAAAATGATATTTAAGAATTCATATAGGCTGTTGAATGTTCGTACATAATTGTCATATTATCAAATAATTGGCTTCATTTTAATGTTTGATCGCCACCATAAATATTTCTCCATAACTTTGATTGGGTCGCTCTACATATTTGGACCTCAATACCTATTGGGCCTTCACCGATCACCTGCCAAGCCTGACCGATTCGACAGACAGCTCAGAGTCAACTACCCATGCCCGAGTACAACCCCCAACAGTCATAATAAGTACTAATAAGCGTCAACCATGGTTGTCATCCTCATAATGCATGAAATTGTACCGTGATACTTGAAAAAATATAAAAGCTATGTATTTTACTTGTTAATTAGGTTATGCAGTAGTTACGTTCATTAATTAAACTTGTTTAAGCAAATGTAAATAATGAAAGTTAAAAGCATAAAGAATGTAAAAACACAAAGAAATGTTACGCAGTTCGGAGCTCCTTCTCCTACGTCTGCGGGGCAACCCACGTCTGCCCAATCCACTATAGATGTTCTCCAAAAGGAGTATTACAAGAGGTAAATACAGATGGCCTCCAGCCTTTACCACTACCACTCTTTCTAACACCTATCCAGGATTGACACACGAATACCCGAACAATCTTCACAAGATGCTTCAGCAGTACCACGTACTGATAATGCAGTACAATATAAATATTCTTACGAATTAAATCAGAAATTACATTCAAAATATAAATTGCTTTGTAAAATCAAGAGAGCTCTAGCAGTGTATAATTCTCAAAGTTGGGCAAATGCTTCCTTCGAACCGTGTGAATTTATAGCACTTCTTGAACCATTAGTTAGGATCCTTAGCAATAGCTTTTTCCTTAGCCACCACTTGTTCAAATGAATCACCACCACTTATTCTTGTTAGAATAAACCACTGCCTTTCCTTGTTAGAATAAACCACTGCCACACATTTTATTTCTTTGACATCTTCACATGCTGACTTCATACTCCAAGGCACAACATTCATATATTTATATCACATGGTCCAAAAATATAATTAACTTTAACAACTCTAATTTATTAAAAACAATAAAACTATTTACTAAATAAAATAGCCAATAACTTAATGTGTAAATTATTTTACACTTACAATGCATTATCAGTTTGTCGGGTCTCATCACTTATCACCTAAATGATCTCTATGAATTTACAATTATTTCAATCTCATTATCCCATACTATGGATAGTTCACACATACACAGAGGAAACCATAAGAGATTTGAGAACCAATCACAGTCGTCTACGTGTCCAAATCTAGCGAATAACAAACATTATTTTTTATTTTTAAAAATGCAGCGACATTTTCAAAAATAATGAACTTTGAAGTGCAAGTAAATTGTGTTAAAACTGCAAGTAACAGTTTAATATAGTTCACCTAAGTGCAAGAAAAATATATTACAAGTGTAAGTAAAACGCATTACAAGTGCAAGTAAAATGTATTAAAAGTGCAACAAATAATGTACATTGCGCATCAATATTAAGTGCATCAATGTGAAAGACGTTATCATTTGGTGCACCAATATTAAAAAGGTAAATACTTGCACTATTTACTGAAAATAGTTGCACTTTTAAGTGATTTTATTTGCATTTTTACTTGCATAAGTTATTTGCACTTTTAATACATGTTACTTGCACCAAAGTAAGAATTATTTACTAAAATGTCACTGCATCATTTTTTAAAATTACATCTGATTCGTTAAATAGACACGTAGATGACGTTCTTAGTTCTTTCTTAGACATCAATTCTCACACACACACACACACAAATGCGAACCAATCAGCGCGCACCACATGTCAGCATTCATCGATCGGGTGCACCTACTTTCACCTACAAGTGCATGTAATTTTTGCCTGCAAGTGCATGTAATTTTTGCCTTTACTTTCACTTTCAAGTGCAGCTACTTTCACCTAGGTGCACCTAGTTATAACTATATGTGTACCTAGATCTAGACACGTGGTGCGCGCTGATTGGTTTGCATTTTACGCCTGGACGCGGCATTCGCACTTGAGTGTATTATATATATATATATATATATATATATATATATATATATATATATATATATATATATATATATATATATATAATACGATTAATATGATTGGAACAATTTAATGAAAAAAAAAAAAAAAGACGCATTGTCGTAGTCTGTGTGAAATAGTATGCTTTTCCCCCGATCATTAATTAGTTTTATATATATATATATATATATTTTTTAAATATTAATTATTTAATTGGTTTTTTCCTTAAACCTCTTATAATTAAAATATTCGAAGAAGTGAGTAGTGGGCATAGTAATTCCAGAGTACATCTACCGTGTTCCCCTTTTGTGCTGTTGTCTCTTCTCCTTTCTCCTTTAGATTGTTTTACTTTCCATCTCCCCGTGACCTCGCTACTGCTCTTCGTTGATGGACCCACCACTATCGGGGTTTTCCTCCGGCACCGGCGAAAGGCCGTCACCGACGAGGAGGGAACTGCAACTGCAGGGCCCTCGCCCAACTCCACTTAGAGTCAACAAGGATTCCTACAAAATCAAGAAGCCACCGGTTGCTCCGCAGCAGCCACAACAACCAGCTGCTCCGGCGGCGGCGGCGGCTACGACGACCCAGAATCAGCCGGTTATTATCTACTCGGTGTCTCCAAAAGTGATCCACACAACGGTGAGCGACTTCATGGGCGTGGTGCAGCGGCTGACGGGGTCGTCCTCTTCGCAGGTGGGGCAGACGTCGGGGTCTACGAGTGGATCCGGCGACTTGTCCCCGGCGGCGAGATTAGCTTCGATTGAGAAAACAAGTCCGTCAGAGAGAGAAAGGGAGAGACACAGAGACACGGAACAAATTGAAGTATCGGCGATAATTGAAAATTCAAGTGTTGAAATGGGGCAGATCCCGGGAATATTATCGCCTGCGCCGACGTCTTTACTTCCGATATCTCCACCGGGGCTGTTCTCTCCGGCGTCGGACCCGTGGATGTTGATGCAGATGAACAACATGTTCCCCAGCCCGTCGGCGTTGTTTTCAGCTCCACTGGTTTCTCCTTCTCCTTCCTCATTACATGATCTCTCTCCATTCTTTGACTTTTGAGTAAAGACTTTTCATGTTTTCCTCTATCTTATTTATTTATTTATTTAATTTGGGGGAATAGGAAAAGTAATTTTGTAATTTCCAGACTGAGAGGAGGTTAAAATAGTCTTCGAAGAAAGAAAGAAAGAAAGAAAGAAAAACGACAAAACAAATGTGAAAAGAAATATTGAGTTGAGCTGGCGTGGGGACTGGGTATATTTTGTACTGTACTTAGAAAATTCTTACCAAATACCAGACTAACCGTGTAATGTTACTGAAAATTATGTTTTGTATTTTTCTCTGTCTGGTCATTTTCTTTAGCATAGTGAAATGGACTTAGTGACATTCACTATTTATACTCTTACCATAATCCAATACACTTGCATCATATTCTTTATTGCCTTATCCATTTCTTTTAATCATGCATTTCTGACTAATACTATATACTATCTTAAATTTAACATATATATACTTAATAAATCGAATTAGTGATCATTCAAGTATCAAAATATCATGCTTCAATACAATATATTTATATTGTGGCATCATAATTATTTGGAGGCCAAAATGTTGGGGTTATACAATTTGAAATGAGAAGTTGACTTAATATACAAGTCAATATTTATATAATACAGTAGTTCATAAGCCAGGCTGGTCAACAGTCAATGATGTGGATTCCATGATTCAAAGCCTACCTGAAGGAAGGAGAGAAGATCGAAGCGCGGCAGCCCGGTCTGGCTTCCCAGCAATAAATAAGTAGTAGCATATGTGGGATGAAAAGATGTCTAAACGTGCCAATCCGGAACATATGGGCTGGCCCGTCTGAATTCATCCAGAAACGGGCTGGACTGACACATTTTTTATATGAGTTGGGATGGATTGAAATTTTCCCAAGTCAACTCGTATTGCCCGTCAGCACATTTATTTATTTTTTAATTTATATTGTTAACATTTTTACATTTTTGTTTAAGTTAATAACTAAACCTCCAAACCTTTTGAATATATATATATATATATATATATATATATATATATATATATATATATATATATATATATAGTTTTAAATTTGTAATATATAATTATAATTTATTTAATATATATTTAATACTAATATAGTTTACATGTAATATTTTTATTTTGTAATTATAATATTATTAAGTTATAAAGTTTATAAAATATATAGTTTATTTAATTTTATATACTCTGATGGGGTGAGGACTCCGGCCCAAGGTATAAGGGCCCAAAGAAAATAGATAGGAGAAGAGGGCCAGCGTCGAGAGGAGCCCGAAGAGCAATTGGGCCGAGTCCGGGAGTCGGCCCAGGCCCAAGCACGGGGCCCAGTTCCGAGCTGCCAAAAGGAGTCCAGTAGGAGCTTAGGCCGAGACAAGGAGTCGATCGAGGCCCAAGCCCAGGAAAGGACTCGGCTCAAGGAGCCGTTAAGAGCATTGAAGAGGCTCGTTTAAAAGGGAGTCGTTGAGACATTGAAAGCCGGACACGGTCGGGCCGTTACAAGCCTGGGAGAGCCGTTGGTCGACCGAGTAATGGCGTCCAACGGCTCCGTATCTTAATTAGCCATGAAGTCGGCCATCAAAGGCCTTCAAGTCGGTAGAGGAGGAGCCACTATTTAAAGGCTCCTCCATTCTTGTAAAAGGACAGACGATTGAACACCCAAAGAGGGGAGAATACCAAAAGAGTTCCGAGTACTAGCATAATCTCCGAAATAGACATACATTTTATCGAAAGGTGCACCCGCCAGCCAAAGGTTGTGTTGGACCTCCTTGGGCCCGAAAACCCTAAAACCATCACTGGCACCGTCTGTGGGGATCGAAACTAAGAGTCACGTGTCCTCTTGAGTGAGGCGAGTCCGAGGAACAACGATTAGAATCCCAGTCGAATTAGAAAAGTTCCAGACATGGCAGGAAGTGAAGAACAATCGAGCCGTCATGACAATGGACGGGAAGCAGACCTGAGAAGCCAGCTGAATCGGAGAAATGCCCGGAGCCGGGAAAACGAGACAACACCGCCGCCGACACCACCGATAAACCAACAATTGCCCCAAGTGCTGCTCACCCCAGAGCAGCTGCGTGCAATCGGACGCGCCTGTGCCGAGGCAAGCCTAGGAGTAAGAGAACAGTCCACTCGCCAGCCGCAACGCGAGTTACAGCCGCTTCATAGGCCCGACAACCGGCAACAGAGCCGACGGGCTGAAAGCCAACCGGTACAGTCCGTTCATTCTCGGCTGGGTCCCAGCGTTGGGCGTCGGTCGGCAAGAGAACGATTGGGTCGGATGGAACCCAGTCATGCCCCGTTAGCCGCTCGCCATCGACAAGCTGCACGAGAGAAGAACCGTACCAAAAGAGCCAGGACTGAGACTCGTCGCGTGGAGCAACCTCCACGCAACCCCGACCAACCGGCTGAGTCTGAAATCGGCGAGAGCACGGAATCCACAGGAAATCGCACCCGGGAGAGGGTCGAAGTGGCGAACTTAGTGCAAGAAGTGCGAAATCTGAAAGAACAGATGGAGGGGAAAACCAAGTCCCCAAGACGTACGTTACTGACCGCCTTACCCTTCTCGGATGAGGTTATGGCTTTTAAAATACCGGGTGATTTCAAGTTCCCGGAGCAGGCCACGTTCGATGGAACCGGCGATCCCCGGGAGCATTTGCTGAGCTACCAGGCTAAGATGCAGGTTTTGGGGATACGAGATCCGGTCATGTGCCGCGCCTTCTTGCCCACGTTGAAAGGGTCAGCACAAAGGTGGCTAGTGGCACAGCCCTCGGGATTGATTCACAACTTTGAAGAGCTGGCAGACCGCTTCATGAGCCACTACGCCGCTAATATCAAGCCACAAAAGGACCTAACACACTTGGCTGACATTCGTCAAGACGAAGGCGAGTCCTTGAAAACCTATCTGGCCCGCTGGCAGAAAGAAATCCAGTCCATAGAAGAGGTCGAGGACCAGACGGCGCTCACCTTCTTCATCGAGTCACTGCGGTCCGGCCAACTGTACCGAGACCTGAGGGACAATCGTCCGGCCACCTATGCAGAGGCCATTCATATGGCCAACAAGAGGGCCAACACAGAGTAGGCTATGAAGTACAAGCGACAGCGCGAAGTCGGCGGATCCGCCAGCGGGAAGAGGACGCAAGCGGAAACCAAAGAAAGGCGCCCGGACGTGACTCGGCGACCCGAGGTCAGACGGCCATACGACAGACCCGTCGTCCACGCTTATCGGTCGATTCCCGAACGTCCGGTCCATGAGATACAAACGGTCGCCCCGCCTCTGCCTCCGCCGACCGATAATCGCCCGACGAACGAAGAAATGGGTAAGACCTCTAAGTATTGTCGTTATCATAAAACTTATACTCACAGCACGGAGGAATGCTTCTACCTGAAGAAGATCATAGAGGGTATCATTCAGCAAGGGACCCCGCCTCCTAATCAGTGGAGGCGAAGATCGGTCAATCGAGGGGATGAGGATCCCGCCGCCGTTGCCGAAAATAGTCGAGGCAAGCAGTCGACTCCCGAGGAGGAGGAGGTTCAGTGGCGTCAGAAGCCGGTTATCAACATGATAGTCGGCGGGCCGAAAGGTGGTGACTCAACAAACACCCGAAAAGCCTGGGCCCGCCAGTTATACGTTGGAACGGTGTACGGGCGCGAGGAGAACCCTAAAAAGGTGTGCCGAGAGCCCATTGTGTTTACCGACCGAGATTTACCAGCCGGTGAAACACCGCATCGAGATGCGCTGGTTATAGCTATGGACATCAATGGCGTTGTCGTCCGACGAATCCTGGTGGACACCGGAAGCAGCGTCAATGTGCTGTACCTAGAAACCTTCATCAAAATGGGAATGGCTCGGGAACAGCTGAGTCCTGTCAAAACTCCCCTCGCCGGTTTCACAGGGGACTCGGTGGAGGCGGAAGGATCGATCACACTTCCAGTTGAGATCGGCAGTTACCCAGACGTACAGAGACTCAGCATGAAGTTCATTGTGGTGAATCTGGCCTGTTCACATAACGCTATACTCGGCCGACCGAGTCTCGAGGATCTTGGAGCGTTGATTTCAATTGAGCATCTTTGTTTAAAATTCTGCACGCCAAACGGAATAGGCACGGTGCGCTGTGACCGTAAGGTCGCTCGCGACTGCTACCTACAGGCATGTAAGGGGATGGGCAAGCGCGAGATACAGGTCCATGAGATCACCGAGAGGCCCCCAAAAAGGACAATAATACCACGTCCGGAGCCTGCCGTCGAGTTGGAAGAAGTCGAGATCGACTCCACGCAGCCGGACCGACGAGTCCGAATTGGAGTCGGCCTCCCCGAGGAAGTAAAGGAAGAAATTATAAAGGTGCTCCGGGAACACCAGATGATCTTCGCCTGGTGCCCGGAGGACATGCCAGGCGTCGACCGATCGATCATATCGCACAGACTCGCTGTGGATCCCGGGCATCGATCGGTTGTGCAGAAGAAGCGATACCTGGCCAACGACCGAAGAGAATTTGTGAAGAAGGAAGTGAGCACGCTACTCGCAGCCGGACATGTCCGCGAAGTTAAGTACCCAGAGTGGTTGGCGAATGTGGTCCTTGTACCCAAGCCCCTGGCGTGGCGGATATGCGTGGACTATACCGACCTTAATAAGGCCTGCCCAAAAGATCCGTTTCCCTTACCGCGGATCGATCAACTGGTCGACGAGACGGCGGGGTCGGCGCTGTTGAGCTTTATGGACGCCTTTAGGGGGTATCATCAGATATTCATGCACTCGGCGGACGAAGAAAAGACCGCGTTTCTGACACCGGACGGAGTTTATTGTTACCGAGTCATGCCGTTTGGGCTCAAGAACGCCGGAGCCACGTATACCCGAATGGTGGCCCGATTGTTTCAGCACCTGCTGGGAAAATCGATGGCCGCGTACGTCGACGACATGCTCGTCAAGAGCCGAGAGGAGAGCAAACACGCAGAGGACTTGGCCGACTGCTTCAAGGTAATGTTAAGGTACAACCTCCGGCTGAACCCTAAGAAATGTGCGTTCGTCGTGCAAGGTGGAAAGTTCCTGGGTTACATGGTCACCAAGCGAGGTATCGAGCCTAACCCTGAGAAAGTACAGGCCATCGTCGACATGCAGCCTCCCAGCACTATAAAAGACCTGCAACGGCTGACCGGCCGATTGGCCGCCCTTAGCCGCTTCCTAAGCAAGGCGGCAGATAAGACCGTGCCCTTCGTCGAAGCCATGAAGAAGAAGGAAGGATTCGCTTGGACCCCAGAGTGCCAGCAGTCGTTTGAAGAATTGAAACAATACCTCTCGACACCCCCGGTATTGTCTACCCCCCAGGAGGGCGAGCCCTTGTTTCTGTACTTAGCCGCCTCTCGCAAGGCGGTGAGTTCGGTATTGGTCCGAG